CTCTACCACTGAGCCACCTTCCCAGCCCAACTGGAAACTCTTATCTCCAGTAAACCACCAGAAAACCAGAAGTGGCACTGGGGCTCAAGCAGTAGAGTGCTCTCCTTGAGCTGAAGAGCACAGGGGCAGCGTCCAAGACAAGAGGTCAAAAATCTGGTTTTGTCACAAATCTTTGTCCTAACAGTGTCTGGCATGGAAGATGTCTTGTTAAGTTTTGCTAAATGAATGGTCAGAGATATGGTGATGACGGATGTTATATAGTTGTCATTCAGCATGGCTAGGTGAACAAAAAAGTAAAACGAAATCTGGCCCCTGCCTGGAGCTAGCATCTGAGTGTGAGGAGCCCAAACAGAGCAAATGGCTGTATGAACCTACCAGGGGAGGGGAACGCTGGGCCTTTTAAGGCCTGCATTCATCACTTGGCACAAGACGGGACACATAGGCTGCCCCATCAGCTGTCTGTCTGTATGGTTAATTTTGTGTGGCCAAGAATGATATCAATACTGAGATGGCTGTTGGCAGATTAAAAACGTTCCCCACCCATGATAGGTGGAGAAGTAGGAGAGCAATGGGAGGTTAGGGAGGGCCTTGCTGGGAAGGTGATAGTAAAAGAGGCTGACCACTCACTGCCCACCACTGGCTGTGGACACAGTGCCATCCATTTGGTAGGGAAGGGTCTAATTCTCCTAAGCCAAATCCACTCCCTCACTCTGGACCCAATGCTAGGTCCTAGGCCAGGACTAATCCGAAGCTTCTGTACACCCAGCTTCCCAGGACACCTAGATTTTTTTTGGAACAAAGATGAGTTCCAAGTGGCCAGATCAGGATCCTACTGACACCCAGCATCTCCCTGAAGCTGCAGATGGAAAAGACACACCTGAGCAGGCAGGCCTTGGAGAAAATGGACAGGCAGGCTCCTGAGAAGGGTATTTAGGTGTGCAAGAGAAAAGTCTGGGGCTGGAGGGAAGTCTGCTTCTATCCAGCTCTAGAAGATAGTATAGTTGGTTTGCCCTCCCACCTGTACCTTAAGAGAAAACTTACATCCTGTTGTGCGTATTCATCGGCCCCAGGGGCCTTCCCGTAGTCACAGAACTTGGTTGTACAATGCAGCACGCCCGGAGGTCTCTTTTCAAAGTAGCTGAGCAATTCGATCTTTCCGTGTTCATCCCCAGAGACAACTGCAGGAGAGAGAGAGGGTGCGGTGAAGGCAGGGGAGCAGGGCCTACCCACCAAGCCCAACCAGGCCCAGGGGAAATCTCCAGCATGGTGCACACATCACTCCTCTGTGAGTTGAGTGCTCCTCTTGGCAGCCTGAGTTATGAAAAGTGTGTGAGGGCTGGTGATGGAGCTCAGGGGTGGATCAATGGCCTAGAAGGCACAAAGCCTTGGCAAGAAGGCACCACGAGAAAAGAAAAAGCAATTAACCTCCCTGGTTTCAGTGCGTAGATTTCTAGGCCAGTCCTGAGGCTTGAACTCCCTGAGTGTCATCCCTGAGCTTCTTTTGCTCAAGGCTAGTGCTCTACATGTACGTCACACACAGTTCCACTTCTGGCTTTTTGGGGGAATAGTTTATTGGAGATAAGAGGCTCCTGGGCTTTCCTGCTCTTTCTTTCCCAGACTGGTTTTGAACTGTGATCCTCAAATTTCAGCCTTCTGACTAGCTAGGATTAAAGGCATGAGCCATAGGTGCCTGGCTAGTGTGTAGCTCTTTTACATTTTTTTCCCCTAGGATCTAAGGTGTTTGTTTGTAACCCAGAGATAGGCAGCATAAGCCGAAGAGGACTGTGGATATCTGCATGTCACACCTACAAGGGGAAGCAAGTTGTGAAAAGGGCACAAATAAAACAGGGGATGGAGGAGCTGGGAACAATGAGGTCAAGTAGAAAGTGCCAGAAAGCAGAAAGAACATAGTAACATCCTGCGAACATAGTAACATCCTGCTACTTACTAGCCATTTGGTCCGGGGCAAGTAGTAGATTCTGTCAATCCCCAACAATTAGGGACCACCCAGAACTATTTGCACTCCTTTTCATGGAGGGAGGAGGGACATGTGTGATCACGGTAACCACGAATACACACAGGCTTGCTGGGAGGAGGAGAACCTCCAGAGGGCCAGGTGCAGGAAACAGACCCCAGGATACAACGCGTGAACTTGTGACTGTTTAGTTCATGTTCCACACTCCAAGCCTCGAGGCTGCTTTTGGAGTCACTAGCTTTTTCCTGATTGTTTCCTGATTAATCCCTGCGAGCATGTCTGTCACCATCCCCTGGAGAAAAAGACGTCTACTGGTCGGTCGCCCAGTCTGACATCTCTCCCGATGAAGTATAGAAGCAGTCATACCAGGGAGGTGCCACCAGCTCAGAACACGGCCCTGCCTCTCTAGGCTTCTCCCTCAACGCCAGTCACAGGTGGGAGACTGGCTCCAGGCAATGGTCACTGCGTGTACCACATTACCCTGCAGAGTTCCAGCCCAGGATCCTGTAACAAGTTCTCTGAGAACTTACAGGAGCACAAAGGACTACTTTCTGAGGTAGAGGAGCTTAAAACAAGAAAAGAAACAGGTTATTTCAAGTAGGTAGACTCTCTAAAATTGGGGAACTCGAAATGGCTTAAAGGCACTGATAGATTGGTTAGTGGGTAACATGGGCAAGCTGGCCACTCCCAAAAACTAAGGCCCGCCAAGACCTTATCTGAAATTAAAAAAAAGGTCATGTTGGAGCCTTTTAAAGGGCTCAGGGTTCAGGGAAGAACCCTGGGCTCGGGGACACAAATCCCAAGTCTCCTGTGGTCCGGCTTCTCCAGCTGGAAAGGGAGAGAGGGTCTGGACTGGTGTGAGATGGTTCTCGGGTGCCACAGGGGTGCACTCGCCAGCCCAGGGCCTAGGAACCATCCCTAGAGAAGTCACAAATAGTTCTGCTTTTAGTTGTGTGTATATGTGTGTGTGCATGTGCACACGCACGTGTGTGCGCGCATGCGTGCGTATTGTTTTTATGGCTTGAGAGTCCCTGTCATATTGTTCAGGAACTTCGCTCTGTTCTAAAAATCCTGACTGAGCTAGTCTCTCCCTCCCTGGTCATGTATATGGGTCATATTTCTTGTGTCATTTGTCTTTTCCACCTCTCAGATTGGGATGGCAGTCTAGAACCAGGACGGGAAAGAAGACTGGGGAGAAGAAATTGCTAGAAAGAAAGGTGCTGTGGACAGCACCCATATTCCCACCTGAGTCCCACTCCCCAATACTACCTCTGATAAGGACCAATTTGCTTCTGGTTGGTCCTGGTGAGCCTCCATCTACCTTCCCTACCTCACACCCTCCTCTGGGAGCCCAGCACCTGTGCCAGGCAATGCTGACTTACAGATGAGTAACGTACGCAGGGGGGGCTTCGCCTCCTCGCCCCCCACCCCAACCCCTGCCACCTACAGTGTCGCAGCTCCTTCTTGAAGGCCTTGTGGCTCCCCAGCTCCTCCAGGAAGACCTGGCCAGCTTTGCGCAGGGTCTCAGAGCTCTTCTGGGTCAGGAACCAGCCGAAGTAGAGTGGCAGGAAGTCCTTCTCCAGCCCAGGCTTCAGCTTCTTAAGGTCATCGGCCGACAGCTGCCACTGGTTCTTCTCCTTGAGCTGGGCACAGTCCAGCCTCCATGCGGTCTTGGGTTCTACCAACGCCACCTGGTACTGGTACTGGTCAGCCATTTCAAAGAGCTGTTCCAGCCGCTCCCGTTCATGGTTGGTGTCGTCGAGCACAAGAACTCGTATGTTCCGACGGCAGTAGGCAGCCAGCTCCCCGTCCAGCCGCTTGTACTCCTCCGAGAAGTCTCCTCGGCTGCCTGGGGTGATCTTGTAAGCATCAGCAGACACCATCTTGGTGCCATCGTGGTACTTGTCCACGATGACCCGAGCCAGGGTAGATTTGCCGCTGCCGGGCAGGCCGCGCAGGATAAAGAGTGTCTTGCACTCATGGAGCACGGCCACTGTGTCCTCATCCTGGAGGAAGGGAAACTGCAGCTCAGGCTTGTCCTTGGCCCCCGACGATGACATTTTACGAAAGAAGATCTTGGGCAGAAATGTGTGGCTCTTTCGGGAGAAGCTTGTGTTCTGTGTGAGGAGGGAAGAGGAGATGGTGAGCCCGGGTCCCGCACAGCCTGCCCACCAGCCTTCGCCCCCCTGTGCCACAGCTCCACTTCCGCTATTTGCTGGAGAGAAAAGTTTCATGGGACTCTTCCTGCAAGATCCTCACATCTCCACCTCCTGAGTAGCTAGGATGACAGGCGTGAGCCACGGATACCTGGCTTTCTAGCCTAGTCTAGTCCTAACAAGGAGCTGAAGCTCCAAAATCCTTAGGCTTGTCTTAAAGACCCCCTTGGCTCCTGGACATCTTACCAGGGAGGCAGGGTGGCCTTCTTCTTGAAGACTTCTGTGGAGTTGGGCTGTGGGGGAGACAGAGAGCCTTTCCTAAAGTTCCCAACCTCGTCCACTCCTGGCCTCAAGGTTCACCCACTGCTGCCAGGCAGGGAAGAGCACAAGCAGTTGGAAGAGCATGCAGAGCCGGCTAGGGCCTGGGGTTCCAGGCCTGGCCTAACTTGATATTCTTGGCAGCTCCTGAAGGATGTTCTCTTTGGAGATCGGGGCTCTCTATCTGAGCAAAGCCACAGCTGCCGTGGCTCTGGGTGTACAGAGGAGGTTCACCCGAAGCCCACCTCCCTCCTCCCCAACAATGGCCGCAACAGATAATACTCTCTTGTCTGGGATGGGAGGGGGGACAATGGTCCCACAGAGGGCTGGTAGGGGGCAGGGCAGGAGAGCACAGGACAAAGGGCCTCATTCACTGCCTACCACCTCCTCTGCGCTCTCTCCGATTGTACCCCACCACCACCACCACCGCCACACACAAAGTCGTGATCTTTGTGCCTGCCCCAGGGCTGGGCAGCGCAGGACACCTGTGTTCAGGATCTAGCTCTGCCTTCCCCCTCTGCCCCCTCCCCACCACCCATACACCCCTCCACTTTGCTGTGTGTCAGCAGCACCTCTCTGAGCCACCTGTTTTCCCATCTGTTGAAAGCAAAAGTAACACCTGCTGGAAACTCGTCTCCATCTTGGCACCGCAGGCTGAGGTTTCCGCGTGGCCTTTGGCGAGCAATGGCTGCCCAGAGCGAGCCCCGGCCAGGCCCAGCCTCTCCAGCTGCGGTGCGGAGTCCCGAACTGGGGGAACGCAGGCTGCTTGCCCCCCCCCCAGGCCCCGCCCCGGCTCACCCCTTACCTTTAGGCTGCGTCCGAACACCCTGAAGTCAACTCCGGAACCCGGGGTCCTCATTTGCATGCCACTTCCTCCCAAGAATCCCCCCGCACACACCCCACCCCACCCTCCTGCAAACCCCGGCCCGGCCCACGCCGCCGCGAGCTCACCATGATGAGCGGGCGCCACGATCGCCGCCTCTGCGGGCACCAGCTCTCCAGGGCCGCCCCGACGGCTCGGTGCGCGC